GTGGGGGACTCTCCCCACACCACCAGATGACAGCACAGGTCCAACCAAAAAGCCTGGAGACTCTCTGACAACCCAACATGACAGCACTGGGCCAATCACCAGAGCTGAAGACTCACCTAACATCTATGTGACAGCACTGGGCCAATCACAAAGCACGAGTGCTGTGAAGGGAAGCAAGTCACATGCTTACCCATACCTAGAAGTTTCCGTTATTTATCTTTGCTGGTGGCAGAACAGTGCAGCAGGGGTAGGGAAGGGAGAGCATGTGCGGATGGATGGATTGGCAAGCTATTCCTAAGCGGAAAACTTGTGTATTGCAGAAATGAACTGAATGTTTTTTTCCCATCTAAGCAAACCGCATGAGTATAGCTCAAATTCACTTTAATGGTCCATTAAACCTAAAATACAAATTGCATGAATGTGAAAGATTTAATAATTCTGTTCACAAATACATCTGTAAAAGGTTCTCACAGCTGTACAAAAACGTGAGATATTTGGCATCGCTTTGTAAATGGTGGCTCACCGGGGTGTCCTTCCAAGGGATGCAGGACAGGAATTAATGGCATCTACAAAAATCTCTCACACCTTCACAGGTTCATTTCATACATCATCAGCTCTGATCACTCCATTTACATATGTCTGTATATGTAACGTATTGGATCTGTCCACCAATTCAAATACTGGCCCTTTAAAAGTGAAAAATAGAGCTCCATAAAGCTGGTAAACATGGCCTCCTACTGGTCACTATAGGAATATACGAGGATAGTGGGAGCCAGTAATGCTGGGGTCACCACCCTCCTACTGGTCACTATAGGAATATACGAGGATAGTGGGAGCCAGTAATGCTGGGGTCACCACCCTCCTACTGGTCACTATAGGAATATACGAGGATAGTGGGAGCCAGTAATGCTGGGGTCACCACCCTCCTACTGGTCACTATAGGAATATACGAGGATAGTGGGAGCCAGTAATGCTGGGGTCACCGGCCTCCTACTGGTAACCATAGAAATTTAAGGAAATAGCGGGAGCAAATAATGCTGGTGACACTGTCCCTGGTGGACACTATAGAGATATATGAGGATAGTGGGAGCCAATAATGCTGGGGTCACTGCCCTCCTACTGGTCACTATAGGGATATATGAGGATAGCGGGAGCCAGTAATGCTGAGGTCACCGCCCTCCTACTGGTCACTATAGGGATATATGAGGATAGCGGGAGCCAGTAATGCTGGGGTCACCGCCCTCCTACTGGTCACTATAGAAATACATGAAGATAGTGGGAGCCAGTAATGCTGGGGTCACCGGCCTCCTACTGGTCACTATAGGGATATATGAGGATAGCGGGAGCCAGTAATGCTGGGGTCACCACCCTCCTACTGGTCACTATAGGGATATATGAGGATAGCGGGAGCCAGTAATGCTGGGGTCACCACCCTCCTACTGGTCACTATAGGGATATATGAGGATAGCGGGAGCCAGTAATGCTGGGGTCACCACCCTCCTACTGGTCACTATAGGGATATATGAGGATAGCGGGAGCCAGTAATGCTGGGGTCACCACCCTCCTACTGGTCACTATAGGGATATATGAGGATAGCGGGAGCCAGTAATGCTGGGGTCACCGGCCTCCTACTGGTCACTATAGGGATATATGAGGATAGCGGGAGCCAGTAATGCTGGGGTCACCGCCCTCCTACTGGGAACCATAGAAATTTAAGGAAATAGTGGGAGCCAATAATGCTGGTGACACTGTCCCTGGTGGACAGTATAGGAATATATGAAGATAGTAAGAGCCAGTAATGCTGGGGTCACCACCCTCCTAGAGGTCACAATAGGAATATATGAAGATAGTGGGAGCCAATAATGTTGGGGACACCAGCCTCCTACTGGTCCCTATAGGGGATATATGAAGATTGTGGGAGCCAATAATGCTGGGGTCACCGGCCCCCTAGTGGACACTATAGGAATATATGACGAAGGCAGGAAATTCAGCCAACCCCTCACCTGTCTCAGTGGTACAGAGGGATGCTGGAAGATTTCCCCACTAGGGTTAAAAATACTCAAACCCTGCCTCAGTCTACATTACTTAAAGGCATAGTCCCCCTTTTTTTTAAACTTCATTTCATATTACAACCATATTTAGTGTGTAATATAAAGCAGGGCTGCATACATCAGCCCCCTAAACCCAAGGTACCCCTCTCTTACCTGGAAGGTGGGGTACTTCTTGTTCCAGGTTGTTGCTAACTAAACTAAATTCAGTGCGGTTGCGCATTGCTCCGCCCAAACAGCCGCATCATCCATTCACAGGGATTGATAATACCGCAAGCATCATCTGCCACCATGAGCAGAGAGACTCAGCTGATCGCGCTGGCAGAAAAGTGGTGACATCATCGCACTTGTAGCCCATTGATTACATCCTCAAGCCCCATAAGAAGGTCTATACTTCCATACGGGGCTGGGGGGGAAAACAAAGGCCTGTGCATTGCACCAGCAACGCATTGTTCGCGGTTGCAATGCTCTGCAGGCTTCAAAGCAAAGGTTTAATAAATGCACAATTTTCATTAACTCATTTTTGGTTCAGATCTAGGTTGTTTTTGGGTGGACTATGCCTTTAAACTGGTCTGAGTTGCACATTAAACAACATACTGAGATCCACTTCTATGTACAAAGGACCTGCTAAAGACAACTGCATATACTTACCTTTCCGGCAGATTAGTTCTTAAAGAGCCATCGCTTGACTACTCACTGCCCCCTGCAAGTACTTCACCAGTCTGATGGGACTAAGCTCCCCCCATCGGTCTCTGTGGTTTCCCCCGCTGGCTTGCATATCCTGTAGTAATGTACAAGTCCTCAGGAGAAACCACAGTGAGCGCGGAGAGGGGGTGAAGAGTCACCAGCACTCCAATGCAATTTGTACACATTTATTTGTGGAACATCACATTAGTCATATAGAGCGGACAATTTGGGGCCACATAGGGTCTTTAAGGCGACATAGTGGCGGTCACTATACCCACTCAATAAAAGGACTCGGTGTGGCCCTGAAATGTTGGCTTTATTTCAAGGCTGCGTTCGCACCTGTGATTAGGGCTGCTTTGGAATTCTGCCCGCAAGAATCTGTGGATTACTGCATCCAGAATCACAAGTGTGGGTGAATAGCTGCTGCCGCTCAGCCTATACAAAGCAATGACAGCCGATGATGGCCACAGCTGTTCAGATGTAATCGGACACAGCTAAATACCTGCTGTTAGGGACAGATGATCGGCGTGGAATGCAGTACCACATCTAGAATCACAGGTGTGGGCGAATAGCTGCTGCCGTTCAGCCTATATAAAGTAATAATGGCCATTGATAGCCGCAGCTGTTCAGATGTAATCGGACACAGCTAAATACCTGATGTTAGGGACAGATGATCGGCACTGGACGCAGTACCGTGTCCAGAATCAAAGGTGTGGCTAAAGAGCTGCTGCCTTTCAGCCAATACAATGATGGCCGATGTCTGTCTGATCATTCATTCCTAACCGCAGGTAATCCACGCACATCTGTGATTTTGGCCGCGGGAATCCGTATTTTCTTGATGCCAGAATTTGCAAATAGCCCTAATTTCAGGCGTAAATTGGGCCTTCGTCAGATAGGGCCAACAGTTCAGGGCCACGCCAAGTCCTTTTCTCAAGGAGACATAATGACCATTCCTATGTCGCCATGAGGAAGTGACCCCAAAATGTCAGCTCCATGGGACTAATGTGACGTTCCACAAATAAATGTGTAAGAATTGCATTGGAGTGCTGGCGTCTCTTCATCCTTTTACCTCTTTGCCGCGGTTTTCCCCGCTTACTTGTTAATTACTACAGGCCAAGAAGGAAGGATTCACTGTGAGCAAAAGGGGAAGCAGGTATCTGTCCCATCTGACCGGTCGAATACTTACAGAGGGTGGTTGCCATTGAAGAGGCGGCCCTGTAAGAGAGAAGCCCCTAAAAAAAGGTAAGTATATGAAGTTGTCTTTTAGCAGGTCGGTTTTACGTACAAGCGATCCTATGCTGACAATCACTTTAACCTCCCTGGCGGTCTGATTATTTCATTTTTTTATCTCCTTTTTTTGTTCAATTTTTTTCCGTATTTCTTACTTTTAAAATTCCCGCCGGTTTCCGGCCCATTGTGAAGCGGATGCTCGCAAGGGACGGAACCCAGATGCCGTCATTGGCCGGAGGACACAACGCGGCTCGAGGTACAAGGTAAGTAACGCTACGCTGAGTGTGGCTCGGGATTACCGCCAAGGAGGTTAAAGAGACCCTGTCACCACCTAACAAGTAAAAAGACAGGCAGTGTTACCTGCTCACCACTTGCTGTGGTTTCTCAAGCATCTACTGGCTACATCAGTTGATTACTGCAAAGATTATTCTACGAGTAAGCAGGTTATTCACGCAACCAGAAGTCTGTGAATGTTTGCAGTCACCAGGAGAGCTATAAAGTGGCGGCTTTTCAAGAACCCCGGAGAGGTAAGTATACACTGTCTTTTTTTCATGGGTAGGTTGTGTGTACAAGTGGCAGGGTCACTTTAAGTAAATAAGCTATTTCGGAGGTCTTTTGTAATTGCAGTTACTGTGGACATGACCTGAATAGTGATGGGCTCGGGCGTGTTCGCAGCTCCACGTGCCGAGCCCGCCAGGAAGCTGACAGCGCCGCAGCACCAATCACAGGTACCGAGACACTTCCCGATCTCTGCAGCTGCGGACCGAGATAATGTCTCAGTACCTGTGATTGACGCTGCGCGCTCTCAGCTTCCTGGCGGGCTCGGCACGTGGAGCTGCGAACACGCCCGAGCCCATCACTAGACCTGAACACACGGTACAGCCCATAGGAGTGCACAGAGGTGAGAATTAACAACGCACTCTCTAAACCACGCCCCCCTCCCCACCTCACCCATCCATGCTTAGTGGAGCTCCCCTTTAAATGGACAAGGCATCATAACAAAACAATAAATACAGCTACGTATCATTTTTTTCCCCTAAGAAATAAATTATAAACTTCAATTATGTTCAATTACACATATTAAAACCTCATTATTCCGGCAAAGGATTGCATTTAACACACACCGCATACTTTCTTAAAGGTTCCTTCTCTTCTTTTTTTAAAACAACGGCGTACTGGTATCACTTCAACGTTCTCCCACAAGGATCAGCTACAACTGTTCACAGCTTGTGTAGTCAGTGGTGCTTCGCAAGATGGACCTCCGAATACCACGACAAAAAAAAAAAGTCGGAGGTATCTCCGCGTGCAGCTTTACTTGGGAACGGAAGTGGAAAAGGAACAGTCTTCCCGTTCAGGGCTGTTCATGGACGCGGATGAGGCAGATTCTGCCCCGGTTCGGTCCGCTTCCTATAGTTTATCTATTTACAAAATAAGCCAAGAAAAAAAAAAAAACCCTGACGTGGCTGCCAGGCCCGCCGGCTCAGGGGTCCGCGGGGAGATGGTCTATGTCTTCTGGTAATGTTATAGTGACGATAAAAACAGGAGTATGAAAAAGAAGGCGGTGATGCACAGTAACCTCTTGAGAAGGGCCGAGCCGTCCTTCGGTATGAAGATCTGGGCCAGGTCGTTGGTTATGTGGGAGATTTCGTGGGCCGCACACACGAAGATGAAAGTGCTGATGATGATGTTGAGCACCGGGTTGCCCGGGATGAGGACCAGGATGCCCTTGGTGTCTGCCGCCAGCCAAATGTGGTACTGACAGATGAAGAGCTGCAAAGAAAAACATGTCGCTGAATGGTTTGTATCCGGCAGTCAAGAAATAACATTTGCATTTGCCTGGAGCAGCACAGTGAAGTCTTCATAGAACCGAAGCTACTCATCTATCTCATTCATTCACACAGCCCAAAAATAAGAGGCTCAATCCTCATTTCAGGGCAGTGGGCGGAGCCATGCAAATCATTGCTGTACACCCCACTGGCCAGGTGCACATCCAGAACCCGCTGATGTAAAGTGCAATTATAGCCCGATGATTCGCATGGCTCTCCCATGCGAATCATGGAATGAGGATTGATCCTCTTATTTTTGGGCTGTGTAGTGGAATGAGAAATGTGAATATCTTTTGTTCTAAGACTTTACTGTGCTATGCCCTGATTGGACTGGAGGGATTTTTGATTTCTTTAGTCCCTTCTCACCATAACCTATGGTTATAATGCCTCATTAGCTTGGAGCAGCGTTTCTCCAAGGAACCAATCAGAGCGGATCCTGAACATGTGACCAGAGCTGACAAAGTGGTCACGTGCAGGCTGAAGACTTTTTTCCATCATTAAAGGACACAGCTCTGAAGAATTCTAAGACGTAGGGTTAAGCTGCTGCCTTTAGGAGAGAGGAAATAGCACAACCTACTTCTCAGAATTCTTCAGAGCCGTGTCCCCCAAAGGACTCCGAGAAAAGGATTTTATGGTAAGAACACAATCCTATTTTTTTGATATGTGTGCACCTGTCTGCATAGAGCAGAGTAGATTTTTTTCAACTCTGAATTATTGTCAGGTTACCCGACACATGACAATGCCGCTAAATTAGTCCTGGGCATCTAGGCATCAATGACCGCTGGTCATGAAAGAGCTACAGCAAGACTATGGCTTTCAATTATAAAAAATAAGTGCTGCAGCACCTAATCATAAGTGTAACTGCACCTACAGTTTTCACTTAGTCCCCCTGCAAAGTCCCACAAATACCTGTAGATCCTATCATTGAAGCTTGCTGTGATGGGGTGGCAACAATGCTGCACTGCTCTTCAAATCAGAGCAGCATTGTCACTCTCATGTCAGCTGTGCCTGCTTGCGCTACATTCCTCATTCTACACATTCGGCTAGAAATTCACTTTAACAGGAGAGAATAAAATAACTCAGCCATTGAGAGGGCCCTCTCCTGACTGATCAACTAATCTCTATAGTCAATACAATAAAAGACATGCAAGTGATACTATGTAAAAATATATATGTGACATCACAAGCACTACAATATCTCATACAATATGTGCTTGCTGAAAATTCTATACTCTCCCCTAATAAAGTTGGAAAAAACAAAACACTGCAACAATACATACTCATACATATTTCATACACTGCAACAATGTATATCTCACTGGCATTCTCATCTGTTTTCTGTAGTTAAAGCTGAACTCTAAGACGATATAAAGGGCGCCAATTAATTGTCCCCATCAGTGGCGTAACTAGTGACCTCAGGGCCCCGATGCAAAAATCCATGAAGCCCCCCCACTCCCGGACCCCATGTCACCTTCATGCTTCCAGCTCCCTGTCTCCCCCTTCGTGTCCACAGCAGCTCTATTCGGCACTGGGCAGCATTTCTGTGTAATGAGGGGGCGGGGATTACACCGCTCCCACTCATTGTGTGTGATGAGGGGACGGGGATTACACCGCTCCCACTCATTGGCTGCTGCCCGGCTGGACGGGGATTACACCGCTCCGACTCATTGGTTGCTGCCCGGCTGGATGATACTTCACGCTGCGCCCGGAACCAGGTGAAGAAGAGGTCCCAGGACTGACATTAGCGGATACCGGGATAATAAATATCCTGGTAATCAGCGGTTACCAGAGGCCCCTTCCTCCTGTCCTGGGCCCCCTCCAAGTGGCGGAACTCCAGGGCCCGGTTGCGACCTCTGCGACCCTGGTTGTTCCGCCACTGGTCCCCATCTCACGTGCGTACATGTTAGTAAGTGCCTAAATTTGACTTGGCATGGCCATTTTGTGGTCCATGTACAGCAGAGCTCAGAGAGGGGGAAGGAAAAGCAGCACAAGGAGCTAATCAGGTGTGCTGCAGTGCATAGAGAATGCTGATGGGAGAGGCTAGTGACAGAGGGGTGAGCTCATCATTCTCCTGCCTCTCTTTCAGTATCCAATTACAGACTGAGGGTGGGAAGGGGACCTGTAAGTAAAATATATATTAATAATATATAGACACCGGTACTTGTTCAGCCTGATGAAGGGGATCCTGCGAGACCCCGAAACGTTGCATGGAGTGCATCACGTTATGCTGCGTATTTGACTTGCTATTGGAGTGCCGGTGTCTACATTATTTCGTTTGATATTGACCACAATTGCCAACCATCGACAGTCGCAGGCACCAACCCTCATTATCTTTGGAACAGCGGTTTCGAGTGCGATGGGTTCATGGACTTTACCCTGTAAGTAAAACTCCCGCATAGAAAGATCAAATCCCCTCCCCTACCGTACAGGACTGTGTCAGAGCTGTGTAAATCTCAAGACTGGACGGACAGAAATCCTTTGGCAGTAAAAACAACGCTCATATATGGATTTCGCCGTCTGCCTGGAGTTCAGCTTTACAGATTGCTAAATGGCTGCTATTGGTCGGCGCCCTTTGCCTAATTTGCCCTTACAGATGACATGTTTCAGATACTTGGGCCACTAACAGATATTTGTGTCTGAGGTGTTGAGTTCGGCGATCAGATCAGAAAAGGCCATTGTGTAACGCCTGCCGGGGGAAGCGGTACTTACTTCTAAGGATATTTTACCAAACCAGGCGAAGAAGGAGCTGTACACGGAGCGAGCATATCCAGGAATGTTCCTAATCAGGACAAAGGCTAAAATCTGCAGAAGAAAATGTAAAATGAGACAGAAATCTTAACTTATGTAGCACGTTGTCATGCAATAAGCTAATCTCATGGCTCCCCTAGTGTAGGACACGTGGCACCAGGGCTGGCACAAAGTCCTTTCACACCCAAGGCAAAAAGACCCCCTTCCCCCATGAGATGTGAACTTCCCCAACAGTATAGGCGGCAGTCCCTGCCTGTTTGAGCCCCCCTCCTACTGAAGCACCCAAGGCGGCTGCTTCTTCTGCCCACCCCATGGACTGGACCAGCGTGGTTCTGGTAGGACTCGCATTCAGTGAAGCCGGGACACTGCAGGGCTCAGGATTTCTGTTTGTTGCTAAAATGTCACCTACCAATGGCAGACAGCACATGGTGTATGGGTCTGTGTGTTCTAGGGAACAATCTAATAAGAGAACACTCCATGCTGGTAGTGTATCTGGCAGGAAAATGTCATTCTAAAGCAACATATGCTGCTATGACAAGGGCCAGTTCACACAATAGCATTGTACTAATGGTCTGATATCTGAGCACTTAGTGCACGTGGACTGGCATGTCTGGGATCTCCTATAGTTATATTAATCATGTAGTACCTGTACAACAGAGACTGAGGGGTGCATCGCGTTACAATCCGACTTGTTTTTACAACTGCTGGCCCAGATTGAGTAAGTCTAAAGGAATGGAGAACACCATTATAAAAATATAAGAGATATATATACATACATACATACACACTCAATTAATAATCACAATACCAACCTGGTGAGATAAGTCCCATGTACTAAGTAAAAGACATTAAGATGATTTGTAATCCAATGTGAATCACAGTTTTGATGTGTAACCAACGCACACAGATGCATTACTCAATCTCGCCACTAGGTGGGGAAATTCACAGAAGACCATAACTAACTAACTATCTGAGCAGCTCTCGCCATGCCCAATTTGTTAACCCTTTCCCACCAGAGTAACACATGTGGCGTCACCGAATCGGGCTGCATATATTCTTATCGTACTTTACTAACAGATAAATATTCTGACCACCATTAAGGTCAGCAAGGAACTTTTTATTTCCGTTTTTCAGCAGTTGCACAAGGGGATTGTTTTGTGTTCTTCTAGACCACTTGTAAGAAGCCTTATTAACTACACTGCCTGGCCAAAAAGAAAAAAGTCACCTGGGTTTAGCTAAAAAAATAGGTCAGAGCCTTCCATTGTGGGCACCTACCATTGCTAAACCTAGATAATAGGTCTAGGATCAGCAATGGTAAGTGCCCAAAAAATGAGGTCAGCTGCCTATCTGAATGACCAGGTTTTCCCATCAATGGATTTTTACTTCCCTGAAGGCACATTGGACATATTCCAAGCTGACAATGCCAGGATTCATCGGGCTCAGATTGTGAAAGAGTGGTTCAGGGAGCATGAGACATCATTGTCACACATGGATTGGCCACCACAGAGTCCAGACCTTAACCCCATAGAGAATCTTTGGGATGTGCTGGAGAAGATTCTACACAGAGGTGCAACTCCCCCATCATCACTACAAGGTGAAAAATTAATGCAACTCTAGAGGAAATAAATGTTGTGACATTGTATAAGCTTAACAAAGCGATGCCACAGCAAATGAGTGCCGTAATCAAAGCTAAAGGCGGCCCAACGAAATATCTTTTTTTTTGGCCAGGCAGTATGTGAAACTAACCAATATGTACGACACGGGTCATTAGCACTTACCAGGAAGGAGACGACAGACACGAACAGTAAGATGTTGGACACTCTGCTGCAGAAGAGAGGCTCTCCCTTTCCTTCATGGAGGACCTGCTGCTTCTGTAAAGCCAGGTAAGTGAAGGCGACCAGCATGCCATAGAACACAGCCTGGAAAGGAAAGCGAGCAGTATGTAAGCAATGTCACCGCGTAACACTAATGGGGACGTGGACATATATATGGAATAGTATGAGATCATCAATCATTTGGGCCACTAGTCATGTTAATGCCACTGAACACATACACTATATGGCCAAGAGTATGTGAACACCGAACCATCATATCTATGATTGAGTTCCGTGTCTCCTGTGAAGGGCACATATAATACTACAGCATACAAATGCATTTCAGACATTGTGAGCTTCTAACCTTGTGGTACCAGTTTGGTGAAGGCCCTTTTCTGTTCCAGCATGACTGTGCCCCCGTGCACAAAGCCAGCTCCATAAAGACATGGTGTGATGGGTTTGGTGTGGTGGAACTTTAGGTGAGGATATCTTTGTTAATTTAGCTCCCCAGACAAAACAATCACATAACCCTTGAAGTGTGTGTGTGTGTGTGTGTGTGTGGGGGGTTAGCCCCAATGGAAGGGTTAAGGCCCCATTCACACTGAGCGATTTATCGCACGATTTTGGCAGCGATATCGCTCACATTTCCACGCGATATCGCTCTATGTAGCTTCTCCAATCCATTTCAATGGAGCTATTCACATCTCGTCGCTCAATATCGCTTGTAGCTCGTCGCTGGTAGCTTGTCGCTCCTACATGACCCTTTTTTCGAGCGATTTCGAGCGATATTGCTCCTGATTGCATACAGCCCAATAGGAAAAAGTCGCGCGACACGTCGCTCAATATCGCTCGTCGCTCAAAATCGCACGATTTTCATGTCGCTCAGTGTGAATGGGGCCTAAGATTCCATATGCCCCGAGTTCTTCAAGTAAAGAAGGAAAGACTTACATATCGATCCAACGACCATCTGAACCACCATTCGTAGACATTACCGTTCAGCTCAAACAATTTTGTTATCGGCCAGAGGGAAAATATATTCTCGAAGGAACCCTGAAAAGCACAAAAAACATATACTAATGTTACCATTTACTTACTAATTTCTGATGAGAATCTTAAAAGAACATTATTCAGCTCCGGCTGTCAGAAATTATTCTCTTACATGGATTTGGATGACACAATGTTTGTAAAATGTAATCATTAAACTCCAAGGAATGATCTTTAAAGGCCCGGTTCCCACCTAGGCGTTTTTCCACGCTTTCGTGCTCGCGGAAAAACGCTCAAACAGGGAAATGCCATTATTTTCAATGTGCATGGTTCCCATCTGGGCGTTTTTCCGCGAGTACGAACGCGCGGGAAACCGCCCTACGCCCAAAGAAGTACATAAACTTCTTTGGGGCGTTTTGGTCGGGCGTTTCCATTGGGAAACAGCCAACTAGCATTCGGAAACGTGTCGAATCGCGGTAAAAACGCGCGCCGCGAACCGCGCGACAGACGCGCATATTCAATCCGCCTAGGTGTGAACCCAGCCTTATGGAAACGTACATTGGTCCAGCTTGGCCCGATTTAACCCCTTGAGGGCCCATGATGGGATTATTCCATCATAGGTCCTCAAGGGGTTAAACAGACTTCGCTGTGACTCTGTTCATATTCGTTGAGCCGGCGGCCGGCTTTACAGTAGAAGCAATTCTAGCGACTCAGCTGTTTCCAGATCGCTTCTACGGGCCGGTAGAGTGCCCCCCCCTCTCCCAGCCCGATACCCCCACTGTGTTTCCTGGGCTGCGCTGCGCCTCTTGCGGGCCCGGGGACCGGCATGTCGGGTGCTGGCGGGAAGCTGGGGAGGAGATCGGCAAATGTTTGGGGGTTTGAAGTAATTTTCTGGCCTAAAATGTGGATTATAACACCTAAGTGAAAAACTAAAAAAAGGCCTTGGTCCTTAAGTATCCATATCGAATATCTGGAGGGCCACTGGGCATGCTGGAAACCCCTGTAGTAGTCCTCTCTACATATAGTGATAGGGGTGATCTTCCGGGTGCTGCACACTGAGCACAGGGAGTGGCTCACTCAGCACCGCCGCCACTCAGAGAACACATTGGGGGAACTTATCAAAACTAGAGCAGACAAAATCTGGAGCAGCTGTGCATGGCAACCAATCAGCTTCTCTCTTCAGTTAAGATTGGAAATTGAAAGAGAGAAGCTGATTGGTTGCAATGAACAGTTGCTCCAGATTTTGATAAATTCCCTTCATTGTATTTGTTTTTTTAGTTTTATCCTCCTCCAGCAGCCCAGGCACATTATCAGTTATCAGACCTGTACTTGTTCAGAAGACTGCACTGCCTCCATTTGGGCTATACAGGATGGGGGAGTAAGTTCATTTTAATCAGACAGATGGAGGTTTGCGAGTATGGCAAGCTCTAAAAGGGGGCAGAGTGGGGTCCTTTTTCTATGTGGTCTCTCTGCAGAGCTGCGACAACCCCTTCATGCTGGGCCATCAGCACGGCTCATGCTGCTTGATAGTCAAAGCTACACCTTGAAGTAAGCTTGGGGGGTGTCAAACCTCTGCAGAGAGACCTCTGCTTCCACAGTGAGCAAAAGTCCTTCTCCGCAGCATGCTGCCAGGGGACAGGCTTTTCTACTCCTTCTAAAATCAACCCTACTTTAGACTTGAACACCTTTTGTTTTGATGCCCCTGCAATGTATTTACCCGATTTAAACAAAAAGTTCAATCTGGTTTTAGGTTTGCCTTTGGGAAGCTATGCCGTCAGCCATGATATGATGTGTGTTGTATAGGACAACCAGAGTTTTTACTGGTGTCAGCTACAGAACTACCAACTGGTCATCTCCCAATGAAAATCAGATAAAAGTATTCATATCTGTAACAGCTCCTTATATTACATCTATATCTTTCCTCTGAAAGTGGACATAAACCCAGAGTATATGTCACTTTTCTACACCTCCTCATGCTGCCCTATCATGAAACATTCAGTTAAAAATGTATATCCATCAGTGTTCCGGGCAAATGATGTCGCACCTAAGATAAGGGGGCGGGGTCACATGGTTGCTGTTAACCAATCAATGAATCTTCCTGCCTGTTGACAGCACCCAGGTGACCCTTCATTGGTGGATCTGGTAAAGTAGCTGCAGCTGAATCATACATGCAGAAGTGTTAGATGAGTATCTGTAATGAAGGATGCATGTCAGAGCATTGGAGGGGGTTTAGATAAAGTGATGCATTTGTAAGGGTTCAGGTCCTTAGATGTCAGCAGGTCACCATACCTGAGAGCATGACAAAAGATATATACATAGCAGCAGAAAACCGAGCTTTAACATCAGGCCGACGTACCACAGGTAGTTTGCTGCAAAGGAAAAAAAAAAAAGGAACAGCTTTTAATAGACGTTTTACATAAAAGGCAAAATTCCCCCAAAACTGCAATTGTAGTTATCGGCAGAACATGCCGGGCTGAATCGGCCCCGGCCGTCTTATATTTCTTAGCTTATCCAACAGAAAAATCTTCCCGAGTCTGCTGCTGTCTACCGGGGATTTTTGGAATTTATTACCGGTATTCATATAGCGGAAACAATTTACGCAGCGCTTTACATACTGCGCATTCACATCAGTCCCTGCCCCCAAGGAGCTTACAATCTAAGGCCCCAATCTCACACACATACAGGGCTGATTTTAGACAGGAGCCAATTAACCTTCCAGCACGTCTTTGCAGTGTGGAAAGAAACTGGAGTACCCGGAAGAAACCTATGCATGCACATGGAGAACATTGTAAACTCCTCGTAGATGTCCTGATCATAATATGAAGAAGGGACCCCCAGTGCTGCAAGGCGGAAGTGCTCACCACTACACCACTGTGCTGACTATTTTCTTTCAACATAAACATGTGAAAGAGTTCATGTTTAGCCCTCATTCAAACGAGAAACAGCCGGTACGTACAGCTGCGTGCACGGCCGTATCGCGCAGCTCCCAGGAAGGACAGGTACCCTACGCTCACCCGCCCTGCACATCTGTGCGGGTGGGCGTACTCGTATGGCGACAGGATGGATCCCATCTGTGTCCGAGCCAGGAAACAAGCACCCGCACTTGAGGTGAGCGTAGGGTGGCGTACGGTGGCGTAGTCCCATAGAGAAGCAGGGGGGCTGCGTACTAATCACAAGCAGCACCTGTCCTTCCCGGGAGCTGCCCGACACGGCCGTGCACCCAGCATGGAGCTGTACATGCCGGCCGTTTCTAGTGTGAATGAGCCCTAAAAGTGCACCTGTATATAACCTGTGAAGAAACTAAAAAAGCATTGAGTCAGCAGCTCAGCTCACTATGTTCCTCCCTCCCAGCAGTGACAACAGCTCAGTTACCCTCTCCCAGCAGTGACTCAGCAGCTCAGCTCCCCCCTCTTCCTAGGCACTATGGTTAGATTAATGATTAAAGGCTGGAAGGAAACTCATGGACTAAAGGTCTGTATTAGGGCCACACTCTGGGGCAGAAAGATGGCCTCCTAAGTGAATAGGGAAGCCACTTTACTAGCTCCTGATACACCGGATGCTTTGTGGTAATCTGGCAGCCAGTTTGATCTCATTTGCTCATCACTAGTGCCTGCTATCAGGTTATTCTTAAACTGGTCATACACCTATAGATTATCTGCAGATTTTCTATGGTCAGATGGGAAATGTCCAATAGATTCCTCCATCTTCGCTAAACTGTGTGGATGGAGGAATCTCCCGCTGGGCCAAGCTTCAGTATCTTTTGCTAGTCAGCCCCTTGGCTGTCAAAATACCTGAACAATCTGATTGGATGCAGGCATTGCTCAGTTATTTTGAACAGAGCAGGGAAGTGCTGTGACCCCGTTCAGGTTTCATTGCTGTAAGTGTCCCCGCTGGGGAGATTCAACTTTCCTACTCTTCCTGGAGACTAGTGACACAGAGAGCGAAAGTAATGGAAAATCCATCATTTTACAGCTGTCACTGGAACAGGAAGAAAATACAAAATCTTCCAATGTAGACAAAGGTTTCAGAGCATGAGAGCTGTCCTCTCACTTCCTGTTGTGTCTCCCAGACAGGAAGTGAGGGGAAAACTCTCCAGTGAGAAAGGAAACAAAACTGACAGGGGTTCCAACCATTCCCCACTCTATACAAAACTAAGGACAAAATATTTTGGCTACGGATACACATTAAGGACGTTCCTTGCGTCTTCATCCAATATCTTTAGCGGAAGACATCAGCCGATTTGACAATATAACACAAATAAGAAGAAAATTAGGTGAGTGAATGTCTACATTTTATGATTTAGAAGTTTGTGTAGAATGATGATTGGATTTAAACATTACCGTTTGCCTTCTTCTGGTTGATCTGTGGCCACAGCGCCATGGACGCGTATATCACCATGAACCAGAAGGTGACCAGCGGGACAAAATAGTAGAACTGGTACGGCCGGTCCATCACTATGCAGAGGACCACTACCAGGAAGTTGAGGCGGAACAGGACCTGTGTGGAGATACATTGTAGGAGGTAAGCATTTCACAACCAATCATTGTCCCTGCACTGGACTCTTCAATGTTCTTAGTGCATCTTCCCTACTGGCCGAATGTTCTTCAATAGGTCCATTCATACAGAAAAGAGTGAATAGAGAAATGAGAAAATACCAAATTATGGCCACTAGATGGAGCCGAAGATCATAGGGAATAAATACAGGAAATAAGGAGATACAATTCAAGAGAATGCTCAGAGAATGGTCCTAAAATGTAACCATTGCTATCCCTGTAGTAATAATGGTTACACTTATATGCTCATTCTCGCCAGCGTTCTCTTGAATTGTATCTCCTTATTTCCTGTATTTATTTCATATGATCCTCAGCTCCATCTAGTGGCCAATTCCTAATTTTTCAATTATTATATTATCTTGCACCAAAACATCAGAAGCCCCCCCCAATAACATCATGAGCCCCCTCCTTTCACATCACAGTCCTCCTCTTTCCAACCAGGAGCTCCTGTCACATTAGAAGCACCTCTTTCACATCAGTGTGTCCCCCCACCCTTTAACCCTTCACATCAGAGTCCTCAGTCCCCCCCCTTTCATACCAGAGTGTTCAGTCCCCCTTCACACCAGACTCCCCAGTCTCCATTTCACATCAGAGTCCTCAGTCCTCCCTTCACATCAGAGTCCCCAGTCCCGCCTTCACATCAGAGTCCTCAGTCCTCCCTTCACATCAGAGTCCCCAGTCCCGCCTTCACATCAGAGTCCTCAGCCCTCCCTTCACATCAGAGTCCCCAGTCCCGCCTTCACATCAGAGTCCCCAGTCCCGCCTTCACATCAGAGTCCCCAGTCCCGCCTTCACATCAGAGTCCTCAGCCCTCCCTTCACATCAGAGTCCCCAGTCCCGCCTTCACATCAGAGTCCCCAGTCCCGCCTTCACATCAGAGTCCTCAGTCCCCCCTTCACATCAGAGTCCTCAGTCCCCCCTTCACATCAGAGTCCTCAGTCCCCCCTTCACATCAGAGTCCTCAGTCCCCCCTTCACATCAGAGTCCTCAGTCCCCCCTTCACATCAGAGTCCTCAGTCCCCCCTTCACATCAGAGCCCTCAGTCCCAGTGCCTCTGTGCAAAAACTTTGAGGCATCCTGGTTGAGGAAGCTAGGAGGCAACCTGGTTGAGAAAGACTGATCTAAGGACTTTTATAAAGTCTGGAATAGAGCAGTAAAGGTAAGAACTGCGCCAAGACTTTAATGATCTCCTGGTTACAGTGGTCACCTCACTCTCTTTGTCGTGGTGACTACTGTAACTAGGACTGAATGTGATAAACATTTTGAGTTGTCATCAAAACAGGAAAAAAAGGGGAGATCCTCCAGTGGGCACACTTGTTCTGGAGACAGCTAAGAAGGGTTTTGCCTCACTTTGTAGAGATTTCCCTGCATTTCCTGTTGTACCCACATGACAGGAAGCGAGGGGAAAACTTTGACACGGCAGAAAAAAAAACAGGTTCCCTATTCCATGCAACATATTGTCGTCAGATATACTTTACTTTTTTTGCCGGAAGTTGGGTTTTAAAGGCCTAAACACCTGATAAAGCTTCTATAATCTCGGCACATACCTGAGCGACGCGATAGAGTCCAAAGTCCCCCTTCAGCCAGAAGTAGGAGAAGTGCCCATAGCCCGTCTGAAACAAATAAGCAGCAACCAGGACCCGGACATGCATGTATACTGGTAAAAACTGAGAAGAGGGAAGAAATGGGGACACATTAGATAGAGACAAAGAATGACAGAACCAGAAAATCAATTATCAGGCTTTACTTATCAGGATTCTGAACCCAAGAGATACGTCCTACAAATCTTCAACAAAGTTCTGAGGACTCCCCTCTAATGTTCAGCTTCTCTCCAACTGCCATCGCTATAGCTGGCTGTCAAAATGACAGCCGGTATTTTCTCTGTATTGCACAGCAGGAGGGGCTGTCATAATGCAGCTGAAATGACACTTGTAGATAGTCTGTGAGTGTCATTGCGTGAATACGATGAATCAATGTAACGTTTTAATTTCGGTTTTACTTTATCTAGCGATGGGTTTATCATCACCTAAACAGGCCCATAGAAGAAATGTAAAAACTGCTCTGGTCCATAACATTGCCTCTTTATGGGCTCATTCACACCGGGCAAAGGTCCGTACACCATTAAAAACAGTTGGATCTCTGTGCCCATGAGCCTATTGCCATCTGTACAAGTCAATGATAGGCTGCGGCTGTAGGCTGGTGTACGGACCTCTAGCCATGTGAACGAGCCCCGAGGTATCATTGGTGGTCACTTGTGTTTACGATGAAGCCAATCCTGGCTATACTTACAGTACTGGCTCCAGAGATATGGTAGATGAGGATAACAAGCTGCATCCAACCCTTCCACTCATCGGTCTGTTCTCTGTTCAGGAGCTTTGTCTGCAATGAGACAAAAGTCACCGTTAGTGATATCAACAGCTCGCACATCACAGACAACATCCCTGTGGTATCAATACTTAGATGTATATGCTGATTCTCTCCAGCAGGCTCTTGAAGTGTAGCAATGTTTCCCATTACTAACCTGCATTTTCTTTTTTTGATCCACAGCTCCAGCTAATGGCCAATTCCCAAATGGTACCTACCCTCTCCACGCTCCTGCGCTGTACCGGACTTCCTCCTCGGTCCAGTGCCAGAGATCCTCTTCAGGGCACAACGACACAGTCATCACACAGGCTGGGCTTACAGTACCCTAGAACTGCTCAGTCCTGGTTGAGATCCCACGAGTTCCCTTCTTGGGTTGGGAGGGCATCCACATTGGAAGCCTACCTAATCAGCCTTCTATTCCCTGGCCCCCCACCTTCTGTGGGCATCAGGATAGGATGTAAAGAAAACATTTTTCCAGAAAGGACACCAGACATAGATTCTAACAAAACAAAGCCAAGAGAGGGGAGCAGAGAGCCCAGGACCTCTGCTCTGCATGACCCTGCAAAGGTGACATTAAGGCACAAGGGCAGGGGGAGCAGAAGTCGAATATGCAGTGGCAGGGTTGAAAGTTGGCAGAGTATGTGGTGCAGTGTCAGGAGTGCTGGGGTTCAGTGTCAGGGGAGCAGTGTCTGGGGTGCTGAGGTTCAGTATCTAGGGTGCTGAGATTCAGTGTTTACGGTGCACTGTCTGGGATGTTTGGTTGTAGTGTCAGGGATGCTGGTGTGCAGTGTATAGGGTACTGTGAAGTTGGGGTACAGTGTCAGGAGTGCTGGGGTTCAGCTTCTAGGGTACTGAGGCGCAGTGTCTGGGGTGTTAGGGATCAGTATCAGGGTGAAGTGTCTGGATACTGAGCAGTAGTATCCAGTGGACAGTGTCTGGGGTGCAGTGTCAGGAGTGCTGGTGTACAGTGTCTAGGGTGCTGTGGTGCAGTGTATTGGGGACAGTGTCTGGGGTGTTGGTGTGTCCAGCGTGCTGGGCTGTTGGGGTGCAGTGTCAAGGGACTATTGCATCTCAGTGGAGTTGATCAATGGCCATTGCAGTGCACTAGATGTAATTCATTTAGGGTTCACGTCTACCTAACAGGTTATAGGGTAAATTATCTGCTAAGACAGTTCTGCTTTTAACACGAATACTTTAAACTCTAAGAATTCGGCTTGTTAGTAGAACATGAAAACAAAGCAATAAACCAGAAAAAGTGCTGCGGCGATAAATATGAACCCGTATCCCACATGTCTTCAATAAAAGGCGACAGCTGAAGTTCTGACGTTAGCGACTCAATAGTGACTATAAATCTGTAAAAACGCTCAATAAACTTTCTGTTAAAGTGTAACTTCAACTTCAATAAAAACAGACTTCCCTGTCCTGGGACAAATATGAGAACAATTTGAAGTCCCTTCTCACCATAACTTATATGGTTATAACATTTCTTGTGGGTCTCAAGCCCAACTCCAGGGCTGGGCAAATTCCGGCTGTCCAGCTGTTGCTGAACAGCAAGTCCCATGAGGCATTGGAAGACTGACAATTACTTACGTGACGCCCAGAGGCAAAGGCATGTTGTAATTTGTAGGTAAAGCACGGCTGGAGGGCTGGGGTTGCCCACCCCTGCCCTACCCCATAGAAGCCATGGTTTCCATACACTGCACTGTTGATGGCCGAGAAGCCTAAAACAGCTGTATGCACTATATACAGGCGGTTCAGATGATCATAATGGAATGATCTGCATGGCTCCTCCCACTGTCCTAAAATGAGGAATCATTCTAATTCATTTACATTGCTCCCATGGAGGGGGGGTTGTTCTATAGTCCTAACACATTTCCTGTCGTAGGGTGACAATGCTTCTCCTCCACAGATACAGTAAGGTAAGCATTGTCACCTTAGGACAGGAAGTGTATTACTGGCGTGATCACCAGGCGAAAGTAAAAGAAAAACGTCTGAAAAAAAGATCAAAATAGTGCGATCAAAATAGTGCTTGCGGCCAATCGCATTGGCTACGTGGCTACGGTGCCATTCACTTCAATAGCCCGCCACGCCCCCTCCTGCCCCATAAAAAAATGACTCGGCACGCAAGGCGAGGCAGTGGGTCTGGTCAGATTCGGCCCGGAACGGGCACTAGATTGTGCACACTTTCTGTTTTGATGCACCTGAAATGTATTTAACTGACACAAACAAAAGGTCAACTGGGCCTAAACATTTTTTTTCTCATATTAATCCATTTCAGCCCGTCCTTTATTGTGTTCTTAACATAGGGTGGTGGAGGCCGGCTTCCCGATCATAAGCAGTGACCAGGAGCGGTCAGTGACTGCACGCCCACTATGCTGGGAGTGCAGTGTGAGCAAGCTCATAGCACAAATCAGCACCACCGGCTGCATGCATATATGTGGCATCCTGCAAAAGCCCACCTCAGTGCTGCCACATATATGCATACGACTATTTTAAAAGGGGTAAACAGTTCTTACATTGCAGGACGTGCCCTTTGGAGGGGCTCTGGTTTGCACAGCGACCCATACCCCCCGCAACACACTCCCATCATATCATGTCCTGACAACACCATCACACAAGCAATACCTCTTTTGTACTTTCATAGTAGAAAACTCCCAGCACGAGGATGTAGATGATGGGGATGAAGAAGGAAGAGTGAGTATAAAACTTGTTCTCCTTCATGTACAGGTTTGCTCGGTCACAGAAATAGAAGTAGCCCATGATCAGGCCGAGTTTGCAGAAAGAGAAGAGGGCCACTTCTAGGGTGGAGGCGGCAGGGGTGGCTGTGGCGGGTTTCTTCTCCTCCCCGCTCTCGATGTCTGTACACATCTTGCTCTTCCGATGTTTGCTCCGCTGGATCGCGATGATTGCCACGTAGGCTGCGATAGACAGCGTGAAGAAACAAGCCGCCAATTTCTGTATGATGGTGAGGGGGGGAGTGGGCTGGCAGCAGGAACCGTCGATGGGCTTCATTATCCTGTTGCAGTAGGAGTTCATGAGGATCATGGCGTTCTGGAAAGAGGAATCATACAATAAATCATTTTACAAAGCAGGTAACGCAATCTCTGTGGCCTCCAAAGAAAGCTAAGTGACATATTGCTTTTTTCACTGCAGCATTAATTGCCATTTCACATAATGATGGTTAATGCCGGGTTTAGGGTGCACAGACAGACAGACACTCACTATATCTCTGCTGTACATAATAATTGCCCGCTATCCCTCTCCGGTGCACAGAAAGGTACTCACTATATCTCTGCTGTACATAGATGATTGCCCGCTATCCCTCTCCGGTGCACAGAAAGGTACTCACTATAACTCTGCTGGTCTCGGGGATATGCAATCCATCCAACGACTGCTCTATAGTCTCCTCTGAGATCAGTCTGGACACACTGAAGATTTTGATTTTTGATCTTGATCTCCTATTAGTACCATTTAATATAGAGGCAGCAATTTCATTATAAGCATTGATTCTCGCATTGGTGATGACTTTACGACTTTCACTGAGCAATTGTTCATTAACTGGATCTGGAGAAAAGAAATAAAAACACATTATGAAGGAGTGACAGGAGAATGTCAACAATATGTAAGTCTTTAACCACTTGAAGTATAGGGTGTTAAAGGAGAACTATGGGGTTAAGGCTTTTCCCCATAGTTCTCCTTAGGGTAACGGGAGGACACAAACTAGCTTCCTCCCGTCACCCTAGGCTCAGTATACCGCGAGCTGCAGCTCGCGGTATACTGAGACGCCGCAGCTGAAGCGGATCCCGACAATTATGTCTGAATACGCCCAGCTGCGTGACTGACAGCTGGCTCTGCCTATCTAGAGGCAGAGCCAGCTGTACCCGCCCCCTCCCCCGTCCGTTCCGCCTGTCAGCGCTGGAGGGTCGGAGCGGGGAGGGGGGAATCCAGCCACTCCCCTGTCACGGCAGAACGCCGGTATGTGTTCGCTCACCTCCTGATCTACTGAGCCGACCTGTGACAGTCTCATTGTCACAGGTCGGCTTGAAATATGAGGCGAGTGAAAAGCACTCGCCTCATAGTTCTCCTTTAAACCCCCTTCCCATCCAGGCCATTTTTCAGTATTCAGCGCTTTTTAATATATTAAGTTCCTTGTTTTCTAGCGATACCCAGCATTGCTCTGCCTCCCACCCCCTGCATGGGTGCCTACATCAGCTAAGCGGCTGCTGTGGAGGCACCCTTGGGTGCACGTTCCCGGCCGTGCCCGCAGTAGCTGCGTGCGCCCATAGACACGCACACAGCCCTGCGGCAGGCCACGCTGCTCTCCTCCTCCCAACAGGTTGATTAACAGCAGAAGGCGCCTCAGGCTCCTCTGCCCTCAGTATTCTCCCCCCGCAACCAGGAAGTTCAGGGAACGAAGGATCACTCCGGGGACTGACAGCGGTGACACAGGTAAGCGCGCGCGGGGGGGAGGGAGGGAAGGGGGGGGCAGGTGAAACAGAAACAGGTAAAAGGCAAATGATTTTTGTTGTAAGTTACTAGGTGATTAAACTTTAATGGGAGGACATAAAATTCACAATGGGGATAGGAAATCTTTACAAGCTTTTAACCTCCAGGACTCTTGGATGAGGTTCCTCTAACCTTCTAACCACCCCTATAAGAGGCTATGGAAGAGCTTGACCCAAAAACGTTCATGTTCTTAGCCAATGACCCAGGACAAGAATGCAGATTAAGAATTCTGATTTCGCTGGCCACATACTTGTACTGGTGCTGTAGTACTATCACCATGTCATTATTTTAAAACAACATGGCAGAGGATGGAATACTATTGAGCGGGCATGGAACCAGTCTAAGAACAAGCTGCTCGGAGCACTGGGTATGACTTTTTTTGTTTGAACCTAGACAAAAATGAGCAGTTAACTCTTGCAGTGCGGGGTTAGCCCCACAGCAAGAGTTAATAAACATTTTTCCTGGAGTACTTCTTTAATGGCGGCATTCAGAGGTGGGCTTCATGATCATGTGATGCCTGGCTGTCACATGTTCGGGAGCCCATCCAATCAGCTTCTGGTGGTAAACGGTGACAGCTCAGTCACTGTGCTTGATCAGTGCCAGCGAGCGCGCTCTAAGCACACAACAGCAGAGCTGGCTGATGCATGCGTGCAGAGGCTTCTGGTTAAGGACCACCCTATGTGCAGCTGCATACATGCGTTACGCCGGTGGGCACAGGTCAACAAAGACGATCACCGACTACACAATCTCATATCTAATCGTGCTGAAATGACGCAGGCGTTACCGTACCTTGTAAGATCCAATAAACATCACTGGTGTCGGCCACCTTTCCTAAAACAGGTTCTATATCCGTCAAGTTCACCCTGTACTGCGCAAGAGACTCGGCGCTGCCGTTGTTGATTTTTATAGACCACTGAAAAATGAACAGAGACACGTTAAGATTTTTGGCAGACATTTAGTCAATCCGGATATCAATGAGTGTGATCCCCAGAAAATAAAACGCCATCTTACGCCCCTTTCACACAGGTGCTCTGATCTGGACCATCTGTCAGTTGTTCAGGTGGAACGATCGGATGCCCATTGCTAGTATATGGGCAGCCGGGTCTAAACGGACAGATGTCCGCTTATAACCGGTTACCCCCAACTCCGGCAATGTCCTCCGATGGTCCTGATCATGCCAGATCGGTGGAAATCTGATGTACAAAAGTTTAGAGGCATCCATTAATGAAAGGGTTAACCTTTTTCAGACACCCGATACCTGAAGATCGGGTGTCTGAGAGTGACAGCAGAGATCGTATACTGGCTTTTTTTTTTTCTTTCACTTTCAGGGATACATAATGTATCTATTCCTGAAAGAAGAATGTTTCAGTTTGCTGATCGTTGTTGCAACAATCAGAAAATCTTTAGTGACAGCTGAATCCTGAACTGCTGCAGGGATCAGTGTCACTAACTTATTATCGGCTGTTCTTTGAAGTTTGAAGCAGCCTGATAATAACCAAAAAGGTATTAATTTATCAAGCAGTAATAGTGAGATTAATTCACAATGACTGCTTGATATAATTAAATAAAATAACATTTTAAGTTTAAAAAAAAGTGTAAAAAAAATAAAAAAAATAAGGGACAAATAAATGTGCTGGTTTTGTAAAAAAATAAATACTACAAATCAAAACTGGGAAAAAAGTGTTTTTTAAAAAAAGTTTTTTCCTCTTTTTTATATTTTATTTGTCCTAAGTGAGGCGTTAGACACATTAGGCCCCGTTCCACTGCGCGATATGCAAATTGCGCGTTTGTCGCGCGATTTGCATATTGCGTGACATCGCGAGATTTGCCGTGCGATATCGTGTTCAAGCTTGCATTGAGCAAGCTTGAATCGCGGCTAAATCCGCTCCAAACAGGGACCTGCTGTAGCGACACACGACCCGCGACAGCAGGACCCTTTGCCCCATTGAAATGCATTGGAGCGCGATATCGCGCTGGAATTACCGCGCGATAAATCGCTCAATGTGAACGGGGCTGTAGACGTTATACATATGTGATATAAATATATAGCCCTATCTGTCCTCTAAAAAACAATATATAATATGTGTGGGTGCACTTTGTAAGAAAGTATATTACTGGCGTGGAAGAATCACAAAAATGTCAAAAGTGTGTCAGTCATTTACGAACAGAAACTAAAAACAAGCTCAGTCATGAAGGGGTTAAAGAGGAACGCCGGATTTTGCTGAAGAGGACATGCTTTTTTTTGCGGAGTTCTTCTTTAAAACCTCAGCCCTCAATGGGCTTTGAAGAGGAGATCTGAGGATCCGGCACAGGACAACAAAGATGAAAGCCGGGCTCAACACCACTATTTCCTTCAATGAAAGGACGGACTTAATGACACTTTATGGTTTTGGCTTCAGCAGTTTGGATAATTGCGATAATACAGATAGCTTACCGTGGCAGCGCCGGCGACGACCAGACGAGGCTTTGATGTCGTACTCTGCAAGTAAAAGCATAAAAATGATAAAACCGAACTCTTCCGGCTCCGGCATTCAGCACTCAGGACAAGGAAATGACTGAACGGAATACGAGGCTCCTCTGGAGTCTACAGCAGCTTTCAATTCTATCCAAAGCCGGATTTTTTTGCTTTGGCTAGCGTATAAAAGGGTCAGAACTAGGGATGCACACCTGTACCGGTACTTCCAGTGGCATGAAGCCGGATTCCTGGGCAATCAGGAAGCCAGGCAGCATGTCATTACCCGCTGCCCAGCTTCCTAAATGGCTAGGAAGTCGGCTCCATACTGTTTAGCTGGCTCGAAGCGGATTGGCCAGGAAGCCAGCTTCCCAGCCAATCAGCATGGAGTCGGCTTCCCGGCACATCAGAAAGCCGGGCCGCGAATCATTAAGCCAGCTCCATGTCCCCTTGCGGCACTGCCGGTCAGAGGAAGTTCCGGTATCAAGAGAAATGCCGGAGCATTTGTCACCCTAGGACCGGAAGCGTGTTACCAGCTGCCATGTTTGTAGTCTAGCCTGGGTAACAACAATGGCTCCCTCCATAGATACGGTGGAGAAGTGAGAGTTGCCACCCAAGGACAGGAAGTGGGTTACCGGCAGCCATGTTTGTAGTCTAGCCTGGGTAACAACAATGGCTCTCTCCATAGATACAGAGGAGAAGTGAGAGTTGTCACCCAAGGATAGGAAGTGTGTTACCGTCAGCCATGTTTGTAGTCTAGCCTGGGTAACGACAATGGCTCCCTCCATAGATACGGTGGAGAAGTGAGAGTTGCCACCCAAGGACAGGAAGTGTGTTACCGGCAGCCATGTTTGTAGTCTAGCCTGGGTAACAACAATGGTTCCCTCCATAGATACGGTGGAGAAGTGAGAGTTGTCACCCAAGGACAGGAAGTGTGTTAAATATGTGAAAATAAAAATAAAAGTAATACAGCCGGCCCTCTAAGGACAGGAAAGCTGCAATAACTTACATACACTTATAATGAGAGGGATGGGGCACATACACACCTCGCTCAGAGCCAGGAAAAACTGCTTCATTGAAGTGTTCACCTCGGGAAACCACAGAAAGTCCTGCAAGGAAAAGGAGAGGATTAGAATCGTTACACCAGCGTTCCAGGAATGAACGCAAAAAAGTCACATGACTTCTATTTCTTAGATTGCATCACTCAATGATAGAAATACATCCGGGGTCACTGTGTCCGCTCCTTAGACTGCTTGGAGTATGTACATCCCCGTGGTGGGAATAATCTCCTAATTAAAATGTAGTTTTTTTAATGTAAGCAGCGCAAGCATCTGAGTTTAAAACTGGGAGAAGGAGCACAAGGAACCAGCCCGCTGTACTGCAGTGTTCATGTGCTAAGAAGGAGCATGCTGACAGGAGGAGAGAGTAGAGTGACAGAGTGATGAACTCAACAGTCTGCTGCTTCTCCTTTCACTGACAAATCACAGGCTGGGGGAGGGGCAAGACCTGTAAGTGTTACTGAACTGCAGCAAAGAACAATCAGGTCTCCTGACCTGCCAGGTAGGGCTGTGCTGTTTGCCAGAGCTGTGCAAATCTCCGGAATGGATGGGCAGAAACACAGGTACTGATTTGCCTGGAGCTCAGCTTAGTATTTGACCTCACAATTATGGAACATTTTCTTTGATGTGCCTCACTTTATTTGGAATGCCAGGCAATTAAATGAAAATACCGTTTAATCCAGCTACTCCATTATAAGAAATTATAAATAATCTCTTAATGTGTTATAAATACTGCCGGCGTAATGACCCAAAATATGTCCTAATAATCAGAAGAGGGAGGGTCAGGTAATACTGCACTGCTGAGAGCTGTCAGTCTAACATTGGAAGCTCACTTTCAGAGGAAGAGGGCACAGGGATGACCTCATGGGTGAACCGCTGCTCCTTTACTGTCCAATTAGCTGACTGGAGGTGGGAAAAGGACTACGGAAGCAGAAAATGTGCAGATCTTTTCCCTACAGTCACCCATCAGTTATGGCGGCTAGGTTCAGTTACAGTGATGATAGATAGTTAGATAGACAGACAGACAGACAGCTAGATAGATAGGAAAGACAGACGATAGACAGACAGACAGACAGACGATCGATAGACAGACAGACAGACAGACGATCGATAGACAGACAGACAGACAGACGATCGATAGACAGACAGACAGACAGACGATCGATAGACAGACAGACAGACAGACGATCGATAGACAGACAGGACGATCGATAGACAGACGATCGATAGACAGACAGACAGACGATCGATAGACAGATAGACGATCGATAGACAGATAGACGATCGATAGACAGACAGACAGACGATCGATAGACAGACAGACGATCGATAGACAGACAGACGATCGATAGCCAGACAGGTCGATAGACAGACAGGTCGATAGACAGACAGGTCGATAGACAGACAGGACGATAGACAGACAGGTCGATAGACAGACAGGACGATAGACAGACAGGACGATAGACAGACAGGACGATAGACAGACAGGACGATAGACAGACAGACAGACAGACATAGATTATAGATAGACGATAGATAGATCTATAATACATAAAAAACTCACCACTCGTATGTTGTTGGTCTGATCACTGAAGGAAATGTCCTCATGCTGCCAAAATAAAAACAAAAAGAGAACAGATCAATAAGCGCTTCTCAGATGTCTTTTCCTGGACTCTCTATGACGTCACTCTGACATCACCATCGTTATATGAAACGTTTATAGTATCGGTGATCAGAACGGAGACCTGACAGGAGGACTTTACATCTAGCACTTCTGCTATGACGGGGAGAGAATACAAGTGAGCAATGAAAGCATAACATCATCAGATAAATCTGTAAAAGAAAAATAAATATTCGGAAAGGTCAGGATGATGAGGATCGGTTCCCTGGAAACGCGTCAACCTAGGCATACTGTGCTGTCATACAGGAACCACCATCTGTGCAGCTCTCACATGCTGTGTTTTGCTTTTTGCTAAAATGAGGATCAACCTTTGATTTTGAAGGCTCCTTGTCATCTACTCTTTTGTGAGTATTATTCTACTTTTGCCGTTTGTCTAATAAAAATGTATCTACACAAGTGAAAGGTGCGCCTTGTTTTTTCCTTAGAGATCAGTCTCCCTGACTGATGTGGGGCAGCGACCTGTAGAACTTCTGCATGTTTGTCTCTTCAGCGGAGTGGTCATCTCTGGCGCTATTGGTTTTTATTTTCGCATAGATACTCAGACTGTATAACGTGGGAAGGAAGACGTACCTTGTTCCCTTCTTCATTTGTACGCGGATCGAGAATCTTGACAAAAGCGTAGAACAGCTGACGTATCCTGGAATCTCCCACAAATACTACACGCTGATTGGCCAGGCAGTTTTTTCCATCACTACAAAAAAAAAAAAAAGAAGCAAAGCATTGACTTTAAAGCGTGTGTCAACCCAAAATAAAATCCCCGCTGATCTGCCAGAAATGCGTTCACCTCTCAGGCCGACAACACATGGCATTTGTGTATACTGAGCGGTGTCAGCCCTGCCCAGTGGTTTCTTTTTGCTAAACTACTTAACCACTCCCCCTCTCAGATGTCTACCACAAAAAGGCTCATTATGCTGTACTCCAAGATAAGAACTTCCTGATTGGCGGTGAAGCCGGCTCCACGCTCCCTCGTCATGAGGTCACTAAGGAGCATGAAGCCGGCTTTCCGGTCACTCAGAAAGCCAGGCGCCGCGTCATTGCACGGTGCCCGGCTTACTGATTGGCCAGCTTCCCAACCAATCAGGAAGCCGGCTCCAACTGATGAGGGAGGATGGAGCCAGCTTCCCGGCCAATCAGGAAGCTGGGCAGTGTGTAATGACTTGGTGCCCGGCTTCCTGATACCGGAAGCATCGGAGCATTTGGGCGAGTACTCGCACAAATACTCGCCATCCGCACCGATACTAGTATCGGTGCATCCCTAAATGTAACCATAGCTAACTATCCCCGTAGTAGCAATGGTTACATTTCTGGATCACAAGAAATACATCTTAGTAAGGAGATGCAATGTAACAACTTAAGAGACTGCTAGAGGGAATGAGCATATACATGTAACCATTGATATCCCCATTAGTAGCAATGCTTACAATCATGGATTACAGGAAATAAATACATCTTAGTAAGGAGATACAATGTAACCATTTAAGAGACCTCTAGAGGGAATGAGCATATAAATGTAACCATTCATACTACAGGGATAGCAATGGTTACAATGATATGCTCATTCTCTCCAGCGTTCTCTTGAATTGTAACATTAAATCTCATTACATGTATTTCTTTCCTAGGATCCTCAGCTTTCCTTTGAAACAATGTTGAAGATGAATTCTTTTTTTCAGAAATAGAATATTGTTGTACTTTAAGCCGGCCCCATTCTGTGCTCTCTTTATGGAGAAAACATATTGGGGGTCATATTGTTGCAATTGACACCCCAGTGCACAGACCTCAGCCAAGCTTATTCTCGTATTACTTCTCTTCTCAGGCCGGGCTCTGCATACCTTGACTTGTACTTGTGCATCATACAGCTGTACGGCTGCCACACGTTTTCCCCCAGGAAGCGGCCGCTGGATATAAGAGACCCGCACATATCATCTCCTGCAGAAGAAGGAAGGCGATGTCAGAGTATTTCTATATAAAATTACAAAGACTGAATCAATCCTTTCTATTAACTCTGTAAGACAAGGGGCCAGACGTCTGGGCATGACAGATAAATTCATTAACCAAAATAGCCTATTGCATGCAAAACTAAACAATGCAGGAGAGAGCCTTGAGGAACTAGTTTTTGTACAACCCAATATATTCAAAGAGTTAAATATTGCAAATTAAGTCTAAGCCTTGGGTAACCACTCAACCACATGTGACAATGCCCAGAGACTCTCACCTTCCAGGTCAGTAAATAAAAGTATTTCATGAAGAAAGACCCAGATTAAGGATATCACGGCTCCATATCAGAAAATTAACCAAGAACCATAAAAACTCCAAGACAGTTAATTCACCCCCATTGTTTCAAGATTGGGATCACCTATTGTCTGAGGTAGAGAAGGTCCTCAAAGACATCCAAAGTTTACTCAGCTGAATGCAGACAATACAAGTCAATAATTACTTTTCCAAATGAAAGCAATATCAAACCAGCTAAAAAAAAAGAAAAAGATATATAGTAACAACTTCTTTAACGTACACTATATTACCAAAAGTATTGGGACGCCGGCCTTTACACACATATGAAATTTAATGGCATCCCAGTCTTAGTCCGTAGGGTTCAATATTGAGTTGGCTCCGCCCTTTGCCGCTATAACAGCTAATCTACCTACCTACCTATATAATGATACATATATGGTGCTTGCTATATTCAAGGAACAATACATACCAGAAGTCATTCACTGAAAATAAGTTATGATAAACTAACATAAGTCTTCAATGGGAAAACCACATTCTCTTCGGAAGGGAAGATTCACAAACGGAAGTCCTTCATATATTAAACCACGAATATCATTTCATAGGACACCATACGACAGAGCACTTTTGGCTAAATGCATTTTTCTGCCAATACATCGGCGCATCCATTCTTTCTTTCCTCCCTGCTGGGCGCTGCTCTTTGTCCCAGCGGGGAGGAAAGTGTGACAGCCGGCCGAGCGCTGCGGGAGGAGAGCGCTGTGAGCGGCCGGTGTCTCTCCTCCCACACCGCTCAGCCTCCTGTCACAGTCCAGCAGAGCGGTGTGGGGGCGGAGACAAGCCGTTCTGTCACAGGAGGCTGGGCTCTGCTCTCCGCTCGCTCAGCCTCCTGTGACAGCGTGTCAGAGAGGAGAGTGGGGAAAAAGCAGGTGATCAGTGATCGCTTACCACTAATTGAAGTTTTGTACATAAATATAGGATTATACTTGTATATTAATAAATGATTTTGATTTATTAATTTAATTGGGAGATATATAATTATATATCCTAGTGACTGAAGGGACACAGTGGTCTGAATCAACCTCTGGATGCTTACATGTCTTGGCCACAGAAGACAGCTTTATCAGCCATGCCCAACTCTCTCTGCAGACTACAGAACATGCCCCCCCATGTTATGAAGATGAGGAGAAAGGGAGGTGTTCTGTAGTCCTAACGCCCTTCCTGTCCTGGAATGACAACACTGCTACTCCATAGATAGAGCACAATGAGTGAGCGTTGTCAGAAAGTGTGTTATTGGCAGGATTACTATGTGAAAATAAAAGGAAAAAGAAAACAAATGCAGCCAACCCATCTAAAGACTGGTGGATGACACTTTTAGATACACTTTAATGGTCCCCTCCACACAAAACTGATATTCTAGTCTAGCGTGGTTGCTGATAAGTTAATAAGACGCCGACTCCTTGCACCTCAGGTTCTCCAGCCGCAAGACATCCCAGCAATACAGAGATAATAACCAGCATTATGCCATCAGTACATTCCTGCCTACCAGTGACCGCAAACCTCAAGATAACGGCAACAAAGTCCGCGCTCCACCCAGACAAGTATTGGCGGTTATTCCACATTATTCAGCATTCTGAAACCTATTAATAGTCATCACACTACATACTTCATTAGTAGTGTATGCAGCATTTTTGCAGACCGGAATGCAGGCACTAAGGTTGCCACGGGTTCAGGTTGCCACGGGTTCGGGTGCTGGAGCACTGTGGGTGGAGGCCGTGGCTGCGGTGCCATTGACTTCAATGCAGCGCCACGTCCCCTCCCGCCCCAAAACAAAGTGAGCCGGCCAGGTTGCATTCCAGAGGCCGAACGCACTCTTTATGGTGTGAATCGGCCCTCAGGCCCCAATCACACTCGCCGTGCGCATGAGCGTTTGGCGCATTTAACCAAGATGCGCATCTGGCTTGGCGCATATGGGGGCACAATTAACAGATAATGGCACTGCAAGCGAGGCGCGCGCCTTTAACATGTGAACGGGGCCCAAGTGGTTTCTGCGCCGCAGATCTGCAACAAGAATGTAGCAAGTGAAGTCACAACTCCCTGATGTGCCCGCTAGCTCTGGCCAAGCCGGGGGATCAGGATGACAAGCCAGTCAACCATTTCCACAAACAGAAGGACCCGTATTTTCTCACTTCCTGTTGTGGTTAGTAATGGGCTCGGGCGTGTTCGCAGCTCCACGTGCCGAGCCCGCCAGGAAGCTGACAGCGCCAATCACAGGTACTGAGACACTATCCCGGTCCCCAGCTGCAGAGATCGGGAAATGTCTCCGTGCCTGTGATTGGCGCTGCGGCGCTGTCAGCTTCCTGGCGGGCTCGGCACGTGGAGCTGCGAACACGCCCGAGCCCATCACTAGTTGTGGTCTGTTACAGAGAATCGCTTGTGAGATCTGGAAGTGATGGAGATGACCAAAGTATTGACAGGAGCCTGGACCGGTCATCGCTGGAGGACAGGGGGTAGGCAAACTCTGGCCCTCCAGCTGTTGTGGAACTACAATTCCCATTAGGCATTGCAAGAGTCTCACAGCCAAGGGCATGACTCCCAGAGACAGATGCATCATGGGATTTGTAGTTTAACCACGGCTAGATTTTGCCTACCACTGCTTGGTGTGTGCGATAATGTGCGCGCATGCTGTATATACATTATGGTGACAGCTCACCCCACCAATGAATGTTTATCACAACAGATACTATGGAGGGCGATTTATCAAAACTGGAGACAGAACCTCGAGCAGTTGCCCGTGGCTACCAATCAGCTCCTATTCGGTTATGCTTTGAAAATGAAAGCCAGAAGCTGATTGGTTGCCATGGGCAACTGCTCCAGTGTTGATAAATTCCCCTCTAGTCTCCGTTATGCACCAGCGCACTACCCCGCGACCCTTCTCATTTATAAAAATCAGGCTGCGGTTTGTAGTCTGCAGAGTGCTCAATAGAAAAAAAGAGCTCTGTGATTGGAGGAGAGCAGGTCATGTGACTTAAAAGATCCACTCATATCAGTGCATTGTGGCAATGCTGCATGGCAACACACTCGTTCTATGCGCAGAGCAGTGCGTCGCCATTCACAGTGGGCAGCACCCCAACGCATATAGCGGTCACATGACTTGAGTCATCGCAGAGAAGCAAGCAGCGGCACAGAGAGTGGTGGAATCATTCACACAGAAGGAACATTCACACAGATTCGCAAATTGTTTATAAACAGAGAGCAAAGTTCGCGTTTCATGAGGCGCATGTAGGGCCCGGTCACACCGCAGCGTTGTGCTCACTGCATCCTTCCGTGGTAGGTGTGATTTGCCGCCATTCATTTGAATCTGCTGCACTGCGCCTGACCGTGCCGCAACACCGCGCACATACTACTTTGTGTAGCGGCAACGCCCGGTATTGGGGTACAACGCGGAGCTCGGCTCTGCTCAACGCTTTGCATGTTATCAGAGAACAATATTCTCATGAAGTCACTTTGTCTGTATGAGATCACGTATGTTTATCATGTTCTCTGTCACGCATCACCTGTAGTCATGGGGAGGATATGAGACGTGCGGCTTCCAGTGTGACACCGGAGTCACTTCGCTCCCTGATCACCAGCAAAGAGGACCTGTCACATGACTGCATATACCGTATAAAGAGGACCTGTCACACGACTGCATATACCGTATGAAGAGGACCTGTCACATGACTGCATATACCGTATAAAGAGGACCTGTCACACGACTGCATATACCGCAAGAAGAGGACCTGTCACACGACTGCATATACCGCAAGAAGAGGACCTGTCACACGACTGTATATACAGCATGAAGAGGACCTGTCACACGACTGCATATACCGTATGAAGAGGACCTGTCACATGACTGTATATACTGCATGAAGAGGACCTGTCACATGACTGTATATACCGTAAGAAGAGGACCTGTCACACGACTGCATATACCGTAAGAAGAGGACCTGTCACACGACTGCATATACCGTATGAAGAGGACCTGTCACACGACTGCATATACCGTATGAAGAGGACCTGTCACATGACTGTATATACTGCATGAAGAGGACCTGTCACATGACTGTATATACCGTAAGAAGAGGACCTGTCACACGACTGCATATACCGTAAGAAGAGGACCTGTCACACAACTGCATATACCGTAAGAAGAGGACCTGTCACACGACTGCATATACCGTATGAAGAGGACCTGTCACACGACTGCATATACCGTATGAAGAGGACCTGTCACACGACTGCATATACCGCAAGAAGAGGACCTGTCACACGACTGTATATACAGCATGAAGAGGACCTGTCACACGACTGTATATACAGCATGAAGAGGACCTGTCACACGACGGCATATACAGCATGAAGAGGACCTGTCACACAACTACAGATAACGCATGAAGAGGACCTGTCACATGACTGTATATACCGTATGATCACACAGAGGATGAAGAGGACCTGTCACATGGCATGATCACAGAGGATGAAGATGAGCTGTCACATTGTATGATCACAGAGGATGACATGTCACATTGCATGATCACACATAGGATGAAGATGACCTGTCACATTGCATGATCACAGAGGATGACGATGACCTGTCACATTGCATGTTCACACAGAGGATGACTGTCACGTTGTAAGATAACACAGAGGATGACTGTCACGTTGTAAGATAACACAGAGGATGAAGATGACCTGTCACATTGCATGATCACAGAGGATGAAGAAGACCTGTCACATTGCATGATCACAGAGGATGAAGAAGACCTGTCACATTGTATGATCACACAGAGGATGAAGATGACCTGTCATACTACATGATCACACCGAGGATGAAGATGACCTGTCACATTGAATGATTGCACAGAGGATGAAGATGACCTGTCACATTGTATGATTACAGAGGATGAAGATGACCTGTCACATTGTATGATTACAGAGGATGAAGATGACCTGTCACATTGCTCTCGGACTCACCTCGGCTGTAGGCCCGGGACACGGCATGGCAGGCGGAGAGCAGTAACACTGCGATCAGGGCCAGTAACTTGGCGTTCCTCACACTGAAATGCTGGTTGATCTCCCGTTTGCCCAGGTTGTAAGCCAGGGCCGCCATCTTGGCTCCTCCATGACAGCAGCGTGCAATGAGACGCCCGGGCGCGGGGGGGCAGCACTGCAGCGGGGAGGGGGCGGAGCCGAAGGGCGGAGCGCTGGTATAGGACGGGGAAAGAGGCGGGCTTACTGACGGAGAGGCGGTGGTGGGAGGGGCGACAGCAGTGGGAGAAGACGGGGGCTGGCCATTCTCCTCGTCTCCGGCTAATAGCGGCTCTAGCTCCGCCCCCGGTCGCTTCT